ACGTTGCCCAGGGTGCACCACGTGGAGGTAAGTCTATTCACACCAGTGTTTGGTTAAATATAATGCGTCGCATTAATATTATCTTCATTTAAAAGCCTTAAATAGTAGGAATAAAATCCACAAGTCTCACAAAACTTGTAATTATAATGTATTGTTTCTTAAATACCCCTTGTTTATAAAGAGAATCTCGCGGAAGAGTTCCATAAGATCTCGATTAAATATGTAAAGAACATTGTACACTATGAGAAAAAGTGACAATAAGAATCTCGCAATAAAACCTAGACTTTATAATTTAAAAAAAGTTGTTAATGAAACATCTTTCATGTTCCGCGCAAAATAATAAACATAATCGAATCGACCAGATCCACCGTTCTTCATGAAATATCGAGGAAATTGAGTATTATTAAACACATTAAAATAAATTGAGGACAATTTATGAACTAGAAATATGAAACAAGGCACCAACAACGTACGTAATACAAATTAATCCAATTCATACAACGAATTAATAAGACTATTGAAAGGGTTAAAGATATATCCAAAGTAAAAATTATAAAAAACATTCTATTATAAAAGATAGTGACATCAGTGCAAATTAGAACATGAAGCTTTTCGAATCAATCACTTCTTAGTAGAAAACGCATAGTGCAACAGAAGTGCCAGTTCTAATTCATTTTTCGGCATCTCATCTATTGGGTTCAGTGGTAACTACGGCGGGTGTGTGAGGCGAGTTTCGTATCATCCGTATATGATCTCCAATAAAGCGATTTACGCGTTCAGAATCCTCAATCATGCACATATGTCCAGAACCGGGAATTTGATGAATATTCGATGTTTTAATTGCCTAAAGGACAGAAAAACAACAACACAACGCTGAAATTGTGAACTCCCCTTCACTACATCAACATAAATCACGAGGAAATCATTATTGGGAAAAAACAACTTTCTTAGATTAAATTACAGTGACGTATACTTAATGCAAATTATTGCAACAAATATTAAAGCGTTTTTAAGTATATTCACTTAAGCAGCATAACATAAAGGGCTAAGAAACAAGCAAATAATAGAGCTAATTGACACAAATAATAGGGCTAATTCACAGCTGATAAACACGACCTAAAATTTGTCTCAAAATGAAAACTAACAAACGGTCGTGGCAAATTAAATTGTCAAAAAATTCTCGATGAGTCATCATTTGCAGAAAAAAGTTTCCATAAAGCGCTTGATAAGTTCATTCACCCTTGCGGAGCGCACAACGCTATCTTGGCTGAACAAAATCTCATATGTACTCAGACAGGCTCGAAGGTGCAATCGTGCTAGTCTTCGTGCAGGCAGCAAATGTGGTCGTGAGAGTAGGAACTTCTCAGCCAGCCGTCAATCAATGGTCCCTGCATGGTTAATAAACCCTTCATTGCATTATAATGACTAAGCTCACTGACAGTAAACACATACCAAGTAAACGTATTCCACGTCATAAGCCCGTTTCCTCCCTAGCTTTGTGGTAGCTTCGCCAATCTTGGAGGCCTTTCCTAGCTAGGAGAACTCGCCATAGAAATTACTGAGCACAAATCAAGGCTTATTAGTGCAGTAATCCGCTACAAACTCAAAGGTAGTCAACATTAAGTTACACAAGCATAGTGATTTTTAGCGAAGATACAGCCTCAATCTCCAAACAGCTTCTCAAACCCTTAGATCGAGAAAGAAAAAACCACAGCCTCCGAGGTCTTTCAACAAAAATAAGATATGTTTCATCTAGGTGCTTTGGAGGTTAACATAGAACTACATCAGTATGGTAGTAATTTTTGTATTTAAAGTTCAACCATAGGCCGGATACCTTCACCACTTTGGGTATTTGCGAAGTTAGAAAAGACCCTTTCCTTTTTGTCACTGAATAAATTTTTAGTTGACATCGGACTATATTGCACTAAAATAATGACTTACAAAGTGGGTTTCCATCTCCTCATCTAACGTGACTAGTCGGTCCTCTGTCCCACTTAAAAGCAATGTTGGGATTTTAACTTGTCTGTAGAAACTGGGACCTCCTTGTGGCCAAACCTGACCCGCCATAACAGCCCAAAGTGTGTAGGCATTGAATTTGTACCCGGAAGTGCGTTCTTCAGCTGTTAAAATTTTCATATTATCAAATACTGCCGGGTCAATGGGTTTGCTTCGATCAGCGTAGGCCTTCCTAGAAAGCAAGCAAACAAATGATTATAGAACGCGAATATCACATGGATTCTACAGAGTTCTGAATAGCTCTTAAAACTACTTATATAAGACTTTTCCAGCGGTCATTTTAAGTAAAAGGGAAAAATAATGAAAAAACTATAGTGAGCAATTCGAATTCTGCCACCAAGCTTGTCGACCAGCGCGGTTGTTAATTTCCACCACTTGTAGCACAGCAATTAACATGTTCATTTATGAGGAAAAAGGTTGAGCTTGAAACCAATTGGTACAGAAAAACTTATAAATTTAAACGCATCGCAAATACTTCAGACATGGAGAAGAAAATTTAAACACATAACCTTAACGAAAATGTAACCATTGCACAAATTACAGTCACTCTGTGGCAAGAAAAAGCTATTTCTGTAGCCGCAGAAACCATCACTAAAATGTTTCTGAGTTCATTAATGAACTTAAGTCAGGTACATTGCTTGAATGGTGGTACAATAAGAGTAATAAGGTATCCATTGTGAATTTTTAAAATAATGTATGGAAAACAAGAGTACTATTCAATGTCAGGAAACCGAATCCTGTCAAATTTGAACGCTACCCGAAGCTCGTCACAACTAAGGAATCCGACGGACTCAGCTACTGTGAAACTATGCGGGTCATAGAAACTTTAGGAGAGAACCTTTCCCCCCTTAACTGGCCCAAAATTGACGATGAGAACTAATATGGCTTTACAGGCGTTGGAAACTGCCCCTACAATTTAAGTTAAAACACTCACGTTTCGAAGCCCTTTCGAAGACACGGGATTAGAAATGTAAGGATCCATGGAGGGAGAGAAAACAACCCCGGATCTCCTGACAAAGCGATAGGAGCTCCTCCGGAAATCAGAACGAGTCCATTTACCAGGTTCAGATTATTCAGTGCAACACAAATCGCTATCGCCGAACTAGAAGGATATTAGTAAAGAAACTACCGTAAGTTGAACAAGTACGAAATTTCTCTACGATAGTGTTTGTGCTTTACTTGTATTAAAATTCAAATAGAGGCGTTAATAACGAAATCGACTTGTGAAGAGAGACGATATTATAGAATCACTTTTATGAGAAACTCACATTCTTGTTGATCAGAATAAAACAGAGACATAAACATCTACATATTCGAATGTAGTGACTTCAACATCTCCAACTCGGTGACTATGCATGTTAACAATTATGCTACCTAGAGTACACATTTAAAAAATCTACTACCTTTACAATATCTTAGTCAAGTATTAGTAAGATTTGAAGCCACAGTTAAAATGAGCAAATAACTAATGCCTAATAATGAGATATGGTGCGTTTTGAAAGAGAGTAGGTCTGTCATTTGCACATAGCTCCATAAATCAAGTAGGAATAAACGAAGTTAGATCGATTATAACATATCTTTCGTTTCGATCAATAGTACTATTCTAAAGGTCATCTGTTACTTGCCGATGGCTCGGCATTCAAAATTAAAATCCGATTGGAATAGGCTTAGAAGTCACCTAACAAAAGAAATAACGCTAATAGAGACTAGGGCAAAAAACAGGCCTTCCAAAGACCGATTGGAAATGCGAGAGAAAAATCGAGAAGCAAAGGCTAAGGGCATCAGCAGTCTCTGAATAAAATCGGGTTTTGAGAGGATTGATTAGAGTAAGACAAATTAGCTTACAAATCCATAACGCGTAAGTCGAGGAAGTGAAAGAGGATTAGTATAAGCGCCGGAATTAAACAACCGATCAACAGGTATTGGATCATGTTGACTAGAAAATGCCTAGTATTGCAAGTAACGAATAATTTCGTAAATTGAAATAGAAATAAGGAAAATATTTTACTGAGAACAGAAAGTAAGTGAGGGCTGATAACTCGATTACGCTCACGAAATCCTTTTCCCCTCCCCCCCCCCTTCTCACTTTTGTAAAATTATTTGAATTTGGTATTAATCGATTCCACACTGAAAAACTGCAAAATTGCTACCTAGCTGAGAGCATTATAATTTACAAAGATTATTCTAGGATAAGTTCCCATGGGAAATACAATACTCAGTGTTAAAAAATGTATTGCTTGGGCTAGTTCAAGGCAAAATTAACGTTTTAAAAGTGACTAATACGGCTTCTCTGAAATACGAATTTCCATCTTTCACGGAACAATAATAAAGAATATTGTTCACAATGTAAAGGAGCATAATACCTATTTTTGTAAGATTCACCTTGTCTCATGACTAATTTGGCAGGCAATTTATACATATTCACGGGAAAAAATAAAAAGTTTGAAACACACAAACAACGCGGTCAACGTGACACTTTAGTAAGAGGACATGAATTAACTATTTATTGATATAAACGCATAGTAGTAAAAATTTCTTCCAAAAACTAAGCACGTGGAGAAAGAAAAGAGAAACCAAAGTTTAGAAAGAGAAGGAATAGGAATAGAAGTTTTAGATCATCACAAGGGCAAAACTTTCCTTGAAAGTAGAATTCGGATTTTACAAATTTCGTTTTAAAACTGATTTCCGACATAATCTATCAAAAAAACGAAATCGTTCATGCGAATTGTACTAATGGAACAAAAAATCTTTGGATTTCTATCGTATTTTGGGTATTTGAAAATTAAGAACGATCATATGCCTATTTAGACAGCATAGCTTCATCTTCTTGCGCACAAATAGATGGAAGTGTGCGTTCTAAACATTCACTTCTTCAGAGACTAAAAATACGACCTAACGTATTAGAGCAATCGAGCTTGTTACATATCCTTGACTAAAATTCAAAATTGAGAAATGCTTTCATTATAGTTGGATTATAGAATGGAAATGGTAAAAATACGCATATTATAAATCATTAAACAAAATACAACAATAAGCAACGAGGGATCGTTCAAACGTCCTTAAAAAAAGAAAACTCAAGAAAGTATATACGAAAAAGGAATAATAATTAGAAATGGTAATTAAAATCCCTATAAATACTCATACGATGTATAGTGATATTAAATCGGAACCACGAAGGTAAAAATATCAACAAAGCCATTTAACTAACCGATTAATCAGTCAATTTGATTCGCGAGCAAAATGATTAAACCATTACTCCTATTGTTTTCTGTCAATTATGGCCACCTGGAGTCAGTGCAGAATATAAAACAAAAGAAATAAAGAGAAGCTCAGGTAAAAGGGAAAATCTATGATAAATTATTAACTTTAAATCTGTTAAAGGGATAAAACATTAAAATGCCTGACCTTGGATGAGTTACAATAGACTGAAGAAATTCATGGAAAGACAGCTAGTAGCAAGTGCTTGTCGATAACATGACACAAAAAACCGAAATTTGGGCATATTGACCAATACACCAGTCGTATGCAATGAAGGTAAAAACAGTGGTCTGGGATGCGGTAAAAGAGGTAAGAGCAGGATCCGGGGGGGGGGGGGAATAGATCAAATGCTACTTATAATATAATAGTATTAAATGAATACGAATGGGTGCATTTCGCTATACCATACGAAATCGTTCAAGAATTAAATAAAACAGACAATGAAAGCTGTTGTGTTCTGAGAATAAGATATTTAATTAAAGGAACTACAGCAAGTTAATGCTGAAAAACAACAGAAAATGAGCCTATTTTTAAAGTATATAGTAAATTAAGAGAATCAATCAGGAAAGTAAATAAATTCCATTGTATTAACTTCTAACAAACCCGATTTTGAAGCCCGCTGCATTCACTAATAATCTGATGAGCACATTAAAATGGAATGCAATCACCATAATAGTACTATATTTTCATTGCGCAAAAAATTCCTACGAGTTTCATGTGATCACAAGCGTGGTAGAATGTGAGCAAACTATCTATAAGAGGAAGGAAAATCAGACAGCACAGGAACAGAAATTTGCATTTCTTATTTCGGTCGAAGTGCCTTAGTTAAGAGCGCGAAACAAGCAGCGCGCACCAAAAAGTCAAGAAACTTTCAAAACGATCAATTACAAATAGTAATTTTTGATAACAAGGAGAATGCATTAAAAGCTATCTTAACATAAAAATATTCAAAGTCAAGCAAATAACTAGCATAGGAGAAATTTCACACCATTCGTCGCAGAATTTCCATAACAAATAACTTGTCACTGGTTTAGATTGAAAAAAATGTATTCTTTTATTTGGCTAGCCTATTAAGTGCTATAAATTTTTAAGCGTTAACAGATAACTTACCCATAGGAATGTGCAACGAGGAGAACAAAAGCTGAATTCAGCGTTCCTTTTTCTCTGTAATACTTCAAAACATATCTGTCCACGACAGCCTGGACATCAAGGACACAATCGTGAAAGAGGCAACTTGCTTTTAAGCTTTTATGGCTAGGGCAAAGTAGGCAAATGGAAAGAGATGAGGAGTGTGAGTAGATTGGAAAGTTTCGATTGCAGCAGCAATTTTGAACATTTAATGGACTCAAACCATGACCGACAAGATCTAGAGTCACTGTTCGATAACCCTATATGTTAAAATAAAAAGCCAATAGGACTACAAATTTACACAATAGTGATATCTAGATATAACGCAAGCTCAAAAAGTGATATCGAGGGATTATTGAATAAAATTTTCAAATTTCAACTTATATAATTTAACTTGGAAGAGTTGATGCATATGTAATGGGTTTAAAAATAGGAGCATAATCAACAATGAAACAAACCTCTGAAACAAAGTGTTCAACTTGATTTTTCCATATTTCCGTCCTCCCACCGACACCATGAATGAAAACTAATGTTCCTTTATCTACCACTGAATGAATTATTAGATAATAATATTTACCCGTAACCAATGGGTTTACTATTTCAACATGTATCTGACGTCCTTCTCGTATTTCTACCAACTGTTCGATGTCTCCCAAACAGTCGAAATCACTACTTGTAGACATTAGCAAATGAATACTTCATCCTATACTACCGCACTTTGCATGCACAGTCGGTGGGCTAATTAATATGATTCCGATAGATATGATAAAGGCGCTTTTTTAAACCTCTTATTTATTCAAACTCTACAGGTGCCGGAGAAGACCTTTAAGTAGGTGAATAATTTTTTATCCCGTTTTCTTTATTTATAGATCAAAAATATTTATGAAGGAATTGTACAGAAGGTCATCTATTTGTTGGCTTTAGGTTATAGTTCTTCCAACTTCAATCAATACAAAAATTTTTTAAAAATGTAAGTGTCCCTGTGAATTTCCTCTAAAACTCTTAAGTCAACTAGTTAGTTATATTTAGCTCAAGTTAAAGTGATATTTAATGAACTATTATTTAATTGACTCTATATTACCTTATCTATGCTTATGCATATGATATTCTTTTTAATCATTAAAACTGAAAAAATGTGCTTAAGGAGGCAAAATCTTAAATGTCTTGAATATTTTGCTGATAAATAGAACATATTTACCTCATATGCACCCGGGAAATTAACACTTATCATATTCGATTTTGTTTATGTTTCTGTTATAATGGTTCATTTGAATGTGATTAATATTTACGCTTTAAAGTAGATACAGTCACAAATTACTAACGATAACTGCTTTTCAATTTGTTTCCAAAGTTCTAATCCTCAATGCGTAACTATATACCTATATACTTTGAAATGACCATCCCTATAGCCAATATAAACTTTGTACTCTTGTGTCCTGTTTTGTTAGGTTTCAATCACCAATTTTTGTCTCATTTTCCATTTCTTATTCGTACCATTGACGCCTTTCAAAACTACGTATGATTTTGCACCCTAGATTGTAAATTCAATTACTATCACCAACATCATCCTGCGACGACTTCGTTACATTTCAACTCAGTCTAATGCTCACCTTAGCATATGCATAATTGAACATGTGTACAGATCGTGCGCTTTTGTCAACTACAAAATCAATACAACTCTTTGTGAGCTGATTTTCGGAAAAGTTATTTCCTTTTAGCAATAAGCTATTTCAACTCCTACGCGAGAAGCTATAGTATCACATGATTAGATACCTATGTTGGCTTAACTATTACGTTAAATTTACATTACTTACACTACCACTGAATTTGAAGAAAACCAAACTATCAAGTTTGTAAGCTAATTGATGATTTCTTTAAAGCACACAGGTCGACATGGAAATAAAATAAATCGCTAGAACCCAAATATAATCTATTGTCAACCATTGCCAACAGAAGGAGCTATGTCCCTAAAAAATTGAAGTTTTCTTTCACTTTTTACTCAGATCAAATAACCTCCCTCCCCTCCCCTTACCCACCAACTTTTGCACAACTTATGAACCCTCGTGTCCCTTTCATCTCCCCTGTTTTAGCTAAAAGAGGGGATATAATTCGCTCATATTGATATTCCTCCATATGTACAACTTTGGACAGTTCAAACAAGGTCGGAAATCTGAATGATCGGAATATTTGTGATGGTCCTTACGGTAAGTTACGTTTTCTTAACTTCGGCTGGTTAAAGTTAGTTTGTTAGTTCAACAGTGCAAAAAAGTTTACGTTAAAGCGAGTTCCTCTATCAAACACTTCCCGAAAGATAAATGGGATTACTTTAAGAAAATGAATAAATCGATTAAAATATATCACCAAAGATAAACACGCTTTTTTAGAGTACGCACAGTTAATATAGATATTGCATGTCCTTAGCATCAGGACTAGTAGCAAGGGTCGATTATTTCTAGTAAAATAGAAAAGTTGTACATATAAGAATGAGATACTAAGGAGGGAGAAAGTGGATGGAAGATTCAAATATTCAGTACAGCACAGTGATTTATAAGTTTAAGAAACGATCTGAGTGATGGTCACCATCTGCATCCGAAACCGAAACACCTGTTGCTTCATTCACAGACTTATTTCCAGGGCCAAGAGAATCCAAAGTCTTTTGCTCTTCAGGAGAGTGATAGATGACTTCATGGTCTATTCCAGCAGCTGTGCTATTGTCAACAGGAATAAGGATTGGTGCAGGCAGTTTTCCAGACCAGAGATTGCGGAGTTCGGTGACACCACCTCGGAAATAGGCGCAGAGAACGGTGGTTAGGAGGGTTATAGGGCAGAGGTACAGTAGAGCAGGTTGGGCCATTCTGGTACCAAATAGAACAATGCAAACTACTAAACCTCCGAGAAGATAACCTTTGAAGAAAAAAATTGGCAACTTAAACTTTAAGTGACATATTCACTTCGATTTACATAAAATCAAAAGTTTACTCTATACTGCTTGAATAGCTTTTACTATGAGTCAAGTCGACCCGAAAATTCGGCTCAAAACCCAATACTCCCTTGTATTCTCAAGGACTGTATGATTAAACGACCCGATTCGATTTAACACAGGGAGCTCGACGCACAACAACCATTACATTCGCTACATCTGTTTTCTACTGCATCTACCAGCAACTTCAGACGAATCTACCTCCACCGGTGTTTATTCTCTTAAAAAAACAAACCTACAAGATGAAAAATCCTTTAATTTGTTGTACTTATTGTTAAAACTGATAAGATAGAAATTATAGTTTGGAGAAGGACTAAGGAATAAATAATATACTCAGCTTCTAAAAAGGAATCAATAATTGTTGACAGTAAAGCACACAAAGACATTCAAATTCAAAAATTCCTCTCAGAAAAGATGAATTTCTCCCCCACTGTAACCCAATCAAACGGTATACATTCCGAATGAATCCACATCAGACTATATTACTCAAATAAAAATCGTCTGACCAGAGTATTGTGAATCTTTTAATAATATTATTGAAAACACGCCCCCAAATAACGACTATTTGCGGATTTTTAAGAAATAAAAGTGGTGCACTGGGGGAACATAAAGAACACGAAATGTAATAGGAATTGACCAACTTATCACTATGTTCCACCTTGATAAGGACATGCCCTCAATAATAAAATCAGTACACCCACCTCTAAAGTTAGGGTTCTCACATCGGTCCACGCTCTGCCAGTGTATACTCTCAGCTGGTGTGTGCAGATCCATTTCATTACGTAGACTGCGAGGTTACTTATTTACTTAACACCAGTTGAACACGGAGGAGTTAAACATACCAACCAACCGACCAACCAATAGCTCTATAATCTTGGAATCGGAATTGGCTTCACTAACGAAATGCAAAATCTACACACAGTTAAGTGAATGCTTTCTTCTACTATCAAAATAAAATGAATTTGTTCTGAAGTATGCCAAAACACAATCACCCAACTCCATTTGCTTTGTGGAAGGGTGAATAAAGAAAGGCGTGATACTTGCGCATAGTGGAAGGACGGTGTTTGCCGGGAGAGAAATATATCCCTAATCAAAACTGTGGGCAATTTCATATCGGTTAAAACTTTGTGACCGTAGGAGAATAATTGGTTCTTATTGCGTATTGCTATATTTAGAACATATAAATACTAATATTAATACTATTCATCGGGAACACCACAGAATTACAAAATACAATATAGGTAAAAGAGCACTCCCATATACACAACGGATCAATAATTTAAAATTTGACTATTGCAAAGTAGAAAAACTCACCGACAAGTGAGCAGATAAAGTTCCATGGCACTTTTCTTTTCCAACAAGCATCGTAGAAGGCGAGAAATACACAAAGCAATCCTAAAGAAATGAAACAAGTTTTTGAGGAGTTAATAGCAATGAGAATATTTATGCCAGCCAATGTCTGCGCGCAGGCAAACTAACAAAATTGGAAAAGGCAAATCGAAAATCAAACAAGGATTAGAGTTTAATAGAAAATAAAACAAAGCATATGATAAGAAGAATGCCACTTAATAAATAATTAAGCAAATGCAAGTTATTTTTAGTTAGAGTCATTTTGATGAGAGCGAAACTCATTACTTAAGCAAAAAGAAAAGAACTACCAATACGCCAAAAACCCTGAGGTACAAGGAAAGCGCCTTATGACTGCTGAATAAATTTATCATAATTTATGTGCTTCCGATTTCTACGAATGGTAATTAAAGTTAGTGTATCTAAAAGCTGACCCAGACAATCTCTAAATTACACCGATGGAATCCTTTTAGCTTTCCAGTAAACTCATATGTTGATGCATAAATCTAAGTTGTTCCAACTGTCAGATGAGGACTACGTTTTTACTCGCTCGGAGATGTCTCCCATTTAGACTTCAAATTCTTAACCCCCTCCCCCCTCAGTCCTTCACTCATCTCCTCCTCTAGTCTAGCTCAATTCCATGACATTAAATTCAGGAATGGACTATAGGAAGCTAACTAGTCCCGTGACGACAAAGCCTTCAAGTCTAACTTGGTCAGATTCCTGGAGGTATTTAGTATTACTTTAAACATTTAATAGCCTTGAACGATTGTATCAGGTAGACATTTCATATACAGCTTTATTTATTTCAAGTAACGTATGCGCTCACATTCCTGCCAATTTTAAATATTATATGAATGCACTAGCAATGTGATAGAAAATAGCGACTTTGTCGAAAATGATGACTATGAGCTATCCCTTGTTACTTGAGTTGGTTTTCTACAGATTTATTAACACTCATTTATCGTACGACTAGTAGGCTTCCGTTCACAGAATACAATACAATAAGCTATGATGGAATAATTAAGTAACGTGCATCAGTGATACATCCGATTCTAAAATAAAACCTACCAGGAATAACAACGTCACCAAAGCCGAGCATCATAGAATCTCGATCAATGTGACACGCGAACGAAAAATCTCGAAATGCACTCCAATAGACCTTGAAGGCGAGAGGCATGAGTTCACCCGATGATCCTGCAGACCCTGACGCAACAGATTCCATGATGCTAGTTCCAGGATCGGCAATTCCACGACGAGATCGAGAGAGCGCCTCATTTTGGGTAGTGGAAGGCAACACAGGGGAGCCCGCTTCACTAGGCGGCTGATGTCCAATTGAACCGAATATTGAAGCAGTTGACGAATTAGACTAGAAGAAATAGCCAATAATAAGGGAATATTAAGCTGATATGTCAGAAAAGACTACAATGATTCTGATTCCCAAATGAAACAATAAATTTTCCTCTCCGATCACAAGTCATTCGGGTCAATAAATCTTGATGTCTAGTCGATTCAGGCTGACTTTCCCTAATAACAGTTGGAACGTCATTGTTGACCGGCAATTTACAACATCGCCATATATCGCTTCTGGAAGTAAAACGCACACTAATAGAGTCAATTTTAACAAGACTTTACACAAGGGTAGCATAGAACGAGCAAATGAACAAGGTTGATTTAACAATAATGATTTTCGAAGCAGAATGATATGATGAAAACGTCATCAGCTTGTAGCGCATTGAAATATTACCACTCGCCATTCCAATTTACCTAGTTGCGGCAAATTATAGTAAAAAAATTGAACCATAGGACCAATTCCTCAACCGGATTTTACGCATTGCATAATGAACATGACAAAAAACTTGACCCGTATTTAATTGCATTGCACAGCACCATTGATGATGAGTCAAGAACAAAGGGGTAGTGGTGAAGTTTGGAAAGCTTAAATGTAGTTTCCTCCGTTCAACACAAGTAGCTCACCCCCCCCCGTCCACAAAAACCCAATGGGTGAAATAAATTGATGATTTAATTGACCATATCCAAACTTCAGTAAAGTACCCACCAACACCCACAAAAGCACTCAGAAGTCATGTGGTATGGTAGCAGTAGCAGGAGCGGAGAGAAAGCATTTGTTCCGAGGCTAACACGGGATTAAAAGTGGGCTTGGAACACACACACATAATTCAATTTAATGCAAACAGCAGGGTAAGGCGGAATTATTCGAGCTCTAAAAGGCTCAAAAATTCATCTGCAAAACTCTCAATTGCATCCACTTTGCAATGACAAATCCAACCATGAGACTAAAGCAACCGCAGACATATTCTCTCCCAAGAAACCTGAATCATTAGGATAATATAACGTAAACTATATACTCCAGAAACAAAATAAAGTTACTTTCTTCTTACCTTGGCTTCATGATCTAATTTACATCGAAACATTTTGTTTCACACCGACTCAGATACCTTCAAATAGTTGAAATAAGAATAAGTAAGTAAATGACCACTGCAAACTAATCAACTTAAATAGGTTTCAGCAAACAACAAGACTGTCATTTCATTAATAATTATTCGCTCTACAGGTCATAGCAATATATTCCCACAACTTCGGGAAAAAATAGTTTGGAGCGAAGGTGATTAAGAAGAAATGAATGATAATTGAGCTTAAATGGAAAGCTGTTCACTTACAGGAGAACCATACAAGTGTCATAATCTTTCAAAATTGATACCCTTTATTCTGACTCACATTAAGGCGCAGGTTTATATTAACGAATAAGAAAATGTCAGTCAAATATTTCCCCAATTGGTGATAAACGTCTCTTCCATTAGAAAGGGATAGAAATAAGATGGTTGCCAGTTTAATTCAATATCTGTTAGTTATGCATATAATTTGTTGAATTATCAAATGACTGCGAACAACTTCAATGGCCTTACAGCATTATTTAAGTACGCACTATGACAACAAAACTTTTTTATAGATTCAGGCGAGTGTCATGTTGACATTAATAATTTAATGGAGACGAATTTTAAACCAACATAATTCTCTTTGAATTTGCAGAGGCAATACAATCATCCTACACAAAGAGTAACAATTCTAGCCCCAAATGCACATGTTCATATCACGTACCCACCTCCTCCCACACCTACCAACAGCACTTAGGTACATAACAGATACTTAAACGCATTTATGAGTAGATTTTTTTTAAAAATTTCACTGCATAAGCGTTCCGCATTCAGTGGATAATTTTCAAAGCCTATTATTCTTGTTATTTATAGAAATATGAGAAAAGGTAATTTGGGGCAGTAAGAGTGCTTAAAGACGGCAGATGTAAAAAAGCAGTCATAATATGAGCTACTCAGGGATCTTTTCCTTATAAGATTAAGTTTTCATCACACTACCACCCTTATTCAATTTATCATTTGCGATTTTACAACTTTAACTCCACCACTTTAATAAGCTTTAAGCTGGGGAAAGATTAGCCGATATATATTTTATCAAAGGAAATTAATGCTCGCGTCGGTTAATCACACTTAACAATACGCACAGATAAAAATAAATTCGCTCGACTCGTTAGCAGTAAGATGATGCAGAAAATCTTCCCACATCTTGCAAATGCAAAAAATGAGAGCCATATTCATAAATGACTTAAATAAGATTGATCAGTAATGTGGAATCGTTTTCTACCTGTCTAAGAGGATGTCATATCGACAAAGAAAATGTCATGTCGCAGTAAACTTACCCTAACAAAATAGGGTGATATAAAGACAAAGAAGACATCGTAGCATACAAGGAGCAGGAAAACCAAGCACATCGTCTAAAAGAGAGAGTAAAAAAGATTACAGTTCAATTATCAATTGCACAATGTGGCATTAATGTATACACACAAGAGGGAGCGAACCTTGAAAGACAAGTGAATAGACAATTCGCAGAGTATATGAATGATGAGGAAAACACCAATGATGTCTTGCATGATCCAACCAATGCTGCAAAAGAGGATGATAAGGTAAAGGGGTTAAGTGAAAATGAATGCAGTTAAGGGTCTCTTAATTTACCACTTCTACTTAAACTATTAGACGATTAAGGACTATTTTATCTAGTTTACCTCCTGATTTAGGCATACCTAAAAATCAGCTTGAAATTTCATGAAAGAAGCATAGAAGTGTAACCCCTTTGCCTCCTTATTTCTTTTACATGCCCTTTTTGCCTGCCTTAAAATTCGTATTATTTAGCCTGCGATGCCGAATGCGACAGTTGTAAATATCGCCGTCTTAACCGCAACAACATAGCTCAAGAATGTACAACGTTTAAGAAAGAAAGCGAGTACAGAATAGCAATGAGAATAGGCATGGCGACAGACTAGAAAAATTATGCACCAAGTTGAAAGAAGTGGCTTTCGAGAGTTGGCAAAATCGATGAAAACATCAAAAACAAAATGTCATGGCAACGAATTAAGATGAACAAATAGCAAAGCAGACGAGCCTTCCCACCACTACCGTAGCCAATCGGGTGCAAGGACAAAGAATTCAGTCGTGTCTTTCACATTGAGCACAAAACAATACCGAAATCAATTTCAAAACTATTAGCAAACGTCATGTGTCACAGCACTCATTTTAGAAATATGAGTAGCATGGACTACACTAGTGTAAAATTCGATTTCTCTAACGGCCAGATTTAATCGACGCAGTTAGTCATCGTACTCTTGACCTCAAGCTTTGTAAGCCCACATGGTAGCCACTGAGCCACAAGCCGTAGGCGCACTACAATAGCTACTTAAGCAATCTTCCTTTAAGTCCTCCATCTTAGGAAAAGTCTCTTACTTAAACGTATCGTTAGTTTACTAAAGACTAGAGAGAGCGAGAGCGAACAAGAGGCCAGCATATGAAGTGTAGGCAATGAGTGATTTAACAGGAACGAAATGACAGAGAACAGTGATGTGTAGCAGATGATATGTATATATAAGAAAAGGCAGAGAGAAATGGACAACTTACGAGGGATCATTGCGGAATACACACCAAGTAATTGTGAAGGTGAGGAAGACGAAAAAGAGAACAAAACGCAGGACACTGATATTCCTTTTGCAAATTTTTAATGTATATTGTTTTCTGAAAGGGATGCAAGAGAAAATCGATCACTTTGAAAAGTCATCATGCGACTTGAGGAGAAAAACTGTTCTTGAGGAGCAAATAAAGCACCTTTCCACAGATAGTAAGTCGTTAAATTTAAAATTACCAAGCAGATGAATGGAAGTGTGAATACACCTGACTTTGGTAAATTGAGGGTATTCTGGAGCCGATTGGTCAATATTGACTCAATAACTTCTTAATTTGTAGACATCAAAGTTTTTCCCGGTTTTGCAAGACATCCGTTTTTATTTCAATTTGAAGTGAACTGAATTAATCTCGTTTAAGTTAACCAAAAGCAACAAATTCAAGAAATTTTCTACTAAATCACTCATCCATTCGCGTTTGGTGCCTCTTAGCACTGGGCATATACACTAAAAGCTCCCACCTTATGAACCTGATATAAAAAAAACTTTCAAATTGATCGAAACCCTCCAAGATTTCTGCAGGAGAAATTTAGAAACTTGAAAGAGATTCCAAAATTATCTCATAATTGATTTTCAGCGTTCTTTATCACAGCACGACTTGTCAATTCTGTGAATAACGGATCAATCTCCGATAAAATATACTGAACCATTAATGAGCATTCCACAGTTTGAAAAAAAATACTCCAATGAGTCTTTGAAACATTATTTAATCTCGCCCATTTCATGCGAATTAAGAACACTCGAAGCAAAATGAGTTTGAATAACTGGAAAAGCATCACCAAACCAAAGTTGACAATTAAAAGGAGCAAATAACCATATCTCCTCGGCATTAATGAAGAAACATTTGAAGAAAACAACTTACAGAGCTGGCGCTTTCATGAAGATCAAAGTAGTGAAAACGAAGGACATTGCAGCAGCTCCAGCGTACACGAACAGCGCAATAAAGAAGTACACTGTTGAAATTGAGAAAAAAAACGCAAACAGTAAGAACCGCAATACGATGATCGGATAAATGTAATATCGCCCAAATGAGCACACAAGCGGTTAACCACCTAATCTATAAGCGATAACCAGAACAAGGTGAGAAGCAGAAATGCTACTTAACCTTGCGTGTGCATTACGGCAAATTATATCCGCGGGGGGAGGAGAGGCAAAAATTTGATGAAATAGGAGGAAAACGTACCCATAACGTCGTAGAAAAAGTAGGAAAGCAGAAGCACGCAAACGGTGGCGAGAATGAATAGAACTGGAACAAAGGCTTTGTAGAAGGGGTTCACACGCGATCCTGAACGGTTCTTGTGTACCAAAATGAGCCTAGAATAAAAGTGCTAATAATAAACTAGACAGATATGCCAACTTCATAACATGGATGACGCTTTAAGAACAATGCGCTTCAATTAATAAACTTCATTGATTTCATAGAGCTAATATTGCCCACTTCGATATAAATGTAAGACAAAATTCTGAGAAGTCCCTTTTAACTCGTTGCTATCGCGATTTCCTAACAACCTCTAGTGAGCACTATTTTATGAAACTCGTATGAGATTCATTCCACTTAGTCCGAGAAGTATCAAATTTATTGGGTTGTTTATGGATTTGAGTGTTAATGGTCTCCTTCCTTTTCGTTTATCATGGAAACACACACACATAATCAAACACACTTCCGCATCTACTTTCAATCGCCTTCATCTCTGTGCATGGGCTGTAAAGCCAAAGGAAACGTTTTATATAGTTCCTTGTCTTATTGCATTGAGGTTATTCGGAAAGTTTGCCCAACTGCTCTACCCAATCTTCAGTAGAGAAAAGTACATATATAAAAGGTAATTATTTGAGGCGCTTAATTTTGGGAATATTTTCTCATTACTTTCATAAGAGTTTTTCATGACTGAGTGTTTCCGTAGCCTGGATAAATGCTTTTTTAGATAGCTTGACAGCAAGGCGATTTCGACACACCCACGCAAGCTCCTTTGATCAAAAAATATTCCCTTTTTTCAATGCATCAGTTGCCATATTTTCAGTCTTCCTTTCAAAATATATTTCCACTGCTTCTGACTCAACACGTAGTTTGGATTTGCAATAAATTTCATACACACATTTCTATTTTTCAAAATGTTTAAAACGGTAACAGATAATAATGGAAAAAGTTGAAAAAAAACAAACACGAGATAAACTGCCAAACAATCCACAAATCACATCAACAGACATACCGTTTGAGCTCCCTTAAAGTAAACAAAAGAAAGCATATTTAGATGACAATAAATAAAGCATGAAGGAAGAGAGGTGTAGAGAGAAACCACACTTACAGATTCTGGTGATTTTTTATGGTAATCAACCCGGCAACGACAATACTTGTGATGCTGAGAATTTTGAGAATGGCGAAAGCCAAAATTGCATAGCCCTCACTAAATGAGGGAGGTACGCTGAAATCCATCAGGAATCCGGTTAATGAATTCTTCTTTACAAGCTGAAAGGAGAAACTCGCAATTATAATCGATTATTCAATTCACAGGAAGTGAACTCTCTAATTGACTTCTTTTAGCTTTAAGATTAGACATAAATACACCCGAAATTGCGTAAATCAGGTAGTGCCATCAAATCGACTACTGGCAGAGACATGAAGAGAAAAAAGACAAGACCTGACAAAAAAATCTACCAGCAATACCATACCAGGCCAACTTTATCAGTGCAATTAATTATATACTAATACACTTTGAATTGGGTTTGCCTAGAGCGTTATCGACGGGGGATCTAACTTGAATATGATGGAAAACAATTGCTCCGACAACGTAACAGTGATAGCTACACTTAACAGGTCACGAAGTCATGATTATGGCACAGAAGTAACCCGATGACACTTGATTGATACCGCATTTCCGGTGTATGACAGAGAAGTATTTCCTGTCCTGAACATTTATTTATTTTATATCAAATGGCAGGCGTTTTGATAGGTATCATTAGCCCTTTAGTTGACTACGGGCTTCATAGAGGGGAGGAGGAACATCAAGGTGAAAAAAGTCAATAGGGAGGAACGGAAGAGTGGTTTAAAGACGTAGAAGAGACAGACCCAAAGGTAGAGAAAAAGGTAAAATGAGTACTATGGAAGTGGTCGAAAATTACATACAGTGGGGTCATGGTAATTTGAAGTGGGAAGTCAACTGCCGGTTAATAGACTTTTTTGCCGTATGAGTATACGTTGCCCAGGGTGCACCACGTGGAGGCAAGTCTATCGCACACCCCTGTCCTGAACATATAGGTTCAAAAAAAGTACCACATCAAATAAATAAAAAATCGAAAAGAGTTTGAACTGTGTGATATTTGTATACGACACCGTTAATTATATGCATAGATTATAATATGGACCTTATGAAAACGATTTCAAGCTTCTTTTTAAAGGCTGACTCAATATTTTATTTGGTTATCCCATTGTTTTCAGCAAAGTAGGAAAATTTACCATTTCTGACAGAACGAACATCTTTGAGCATTCCATATCTGCTATTTCCAAAGCCTAGTCGCTCATACATTAAATGGGGACAAACATAGACTAGAGGGAATGCACAAAATTAATGGCCTTGGCCTCCAGAAACAAGCAATAAATCAATGTGAGATTAATTTCAATCACAAATAGTAGTTGCCGTTTGTAGAATTCATCAATATCAGCCAGGCTTCTTATTCGAACTAAAAATACTACATTAGGAAAAAATTCCAATACGAAAATACCATAAAGCATAACCCTTGATTTGAAAGGATGTCCATCTTTGAAAAAGAAAGTAAGACCATTAGCTTAAATTCACAATTTCTATTAAGCAATAGATCCTAAACCTAAACTGGAATAGTGAGTGATACTCGAGAAGGCCAAATTAGACACTTGTGCCTTAAATAAAAAGAGCAAAAAGCGATGGATTTAAGAGCTTTTCACGCAACACCATTTTCTCTAGCAATTCTAGCAGGAAATAAAAGTGGATTCATTGGCATAAAAATATCCTTATCTAAGTCTCCTTAAACCAAAGGGTCAAGTTCAAGTCGGAAACACCATAGGTACATGTCCCAGTGAAGGACATGAAATGGTTAAAATTGGTCAATAGGATAGTGGCTGAATTAGAGTACCTCTATAGATGTGACGACGACACGCCTCAATCCAATAAAAGTATGGAATGAAAAATCATTGTCTCCAACAAATGATAAATCTGATAGGTAGTCAACAAGCAAAGCACAAAGATGTTGTTCAGTATCGCCATGAACCATTTCCACAGAAGCACCTTAAACCATAAGTGGGTAGGCGGTAACTTTGACAGCTTGACAGTTATTCGGGCAAGAATGCTATTAGTCAGGAGGCTGTTATGATCGCCAAATATCAACATTCTGAAGAAAACTTGTAATGATTCAAACTTTTCTGCATTAATAAAGTGGGTTTGAGTACCTAAAATTGTTTTATCACTCCAAGTCCGAGAAAACTAAGGCCTAGCAGATAAATCGAACAACAGAACTTAAACTGCCTAATCCTTTAGTTTAGTTGTAGTTTACTTATTAAAAACGACTGAAAAATTAAAACTCAAATCAATATGGAAATACCGGTAACAGGGGAGTTAAAAGTTCTTTCTCCTGCTGAGTAGATATAATTCATGGCTAACAATACAAAACTGTAACAGCTTAAATATTTCTCGCAAGCAGATTTTTTACAAAAAAGATAACTTACATTCAGAAGATTCTGTAAAGTTTTCTTGGTTACGAAGAAGGCGTAATCATCTGAGCTCACATTGTTATTTACAATATTCTTCAGGTGGACAGTCTCGAAAATAATGACAGATATGCCCAAATTTTTGGTCAATTCATACCTATCAGTCCAATTGTTGGGCAAGATAAGAGAAAATTCTTTAGTGGTTTTCACAACCTCAGGGAAATTGTTTGTGGCATTGGTCATTCGAAGTTTAATTTCATCAATTCCAGCGTCAACTGGTAGATCCCGCGCATCAATAAGAAACGACTAGGGTTTTAAATTACGAAGTCAAAAAGGTAGTTACGAAAAAGGGAATAATAATTTGAAAAAGATTCCTGACTTACAGCTGGGATAGAAAGAGTAGAATGCTCAAGGTAACCATGAGCACAGACATAGAAAGAACTATTTGTTGATGTATCATTAAGTCGAATTGTAGTAGTCACGAAGGATTTCTGCAAAAATAATAATATAAAATACTTCCTGCAGTAAAAATACTGTTTATAATTATCAGATTACAATAAACCATTATAGCAATAGAAGTATGTGAAAATTTTGATACAATTTGGTAAGCGAAAATTGACTTACCGAAGCATAGCTTCCATTAGCAAGTAGTATCAAAGCCACAAACACGTCAAACACCTTGAAGGGAGCGAGCATATTTCAAAAGTGCCGCTGCCAGAAACTTGGTCGGTGCTGATTTATCTAAACTAGTTAAACCCTGCGAACTATTTTGAACTAACGTTATTAATTCCTGGAAATCTGTTCATTTTTCAGAATTAAGCATGACATTGCGTTACTCTAATGTTATAAGGATTTCTATGTTTATATAAATATATTACTTTATGCAATAATCTTCGATTTACAACTTATTAGACGCTTCTAAAATTAAACTAGAATCCAGCTCGCTTTGTCATTCACAATGAATCGTAGTTGAGTACTTCATATCTTTGCTGTCCACTTATTCACCTATTTATACCAATTGAATATGTCAATATTGAAAATAAAGCGTTACTAATAATAGAAAGCGAAAATTTTTAACGTTTCCCAAAATTGATGTCAGCCTATACAAAGAGTGAATAAATAACAGCTGGTAATGTAGAATGAAAATACGGATAAAAAATCAGATATTTCAATTAAAAGTAGTGCTAACATATAGTGCGTTTATTCTATTGACTAATTCTTATTCCATTAATTCTTCCGCAACTTCTTCAATCATTTTCTTTTGATCTGCAATCAAACATCGGCTTTTCATTGATTATAATCTTTCCAAGAAGCTTATATTTACCTGATTGAATTTCTTATTTCACGCCTCCATATATTTAGTATATTCAGCAATACGCAATATCATCGAAAAGGTTTTCGAGGAGTGACTTATCTTGTTTTTACATGTACCTATGTAATATGGTTTACTGCCAATACCTTTGAATAATAAAAACGGCACATACATGTGAATTTTTCTCAGTATTCATTCAATTTAATTGCTGAATCTCATGAATTAGGTTTCAACTCCATCAAGCTTGGAAACGATTGCCCCTTATACATTATTCAATATTAATAGGAAGCCGAATCGTGATCGTCTAATGGTTTTTCCAAAGTTGTTTAAATCCTTCGCTTTTCTAATTGCCCAATTTTACTCTGTTCCAACGTTGTATTCATTTTATGTGTTAAACGGTATTTAGATAGAATTAAATCAAGGACACATTTTGATTTTCCTATTAAAGTTGGTATTATGTCTGCAAAGTAAATAAAATTTTCCATATTACTTACTTTGTGTGCTTACAATTTAGAAGCATTATTAAGTTTACTGATTACAAAACCCAGTTTCGTGTTATTATTTCTCTGATAAGTTTGACCTGCCTCGAGATTCCTAGTGCCTATAACTTCTCAATAGGTAGTTGTTCACATTCAAATTGATTAGTGATCTTAGATTTTGTAAGAGGGCTTGCATTAAGTGAGTTAATTCGTATGTTCCTTAACATTCGGCATTTTGATAAGTGACCTTACGCATCAAGTAATAGCACAAGAAAAGTAAAGGCTTTTCATAGAAGCTTTTAAGCACCTTCAGCCTGTGTGTCAACATTTGCATCGGATTGCTGCACTAGGTAAGCCTTGAATGACTCAGATATCTCTGTGGCAGAATTACTTATATCCAGCTGTACTAACAGAATTAACTAAGCTACATCCCAGCTATGTAGAAACCGAACGTATCGCACGGAGCACGTTTATTTAGGAAGTATATTGGAGTAAAATTGTACACGCCGTAATGTTAGTCATATTCAAAATGGCGGATCCACTTAAACAAACGGAAGCTTCTGATTGGCCATTGGCTGTGCACCCAAGCGTTCACGCTTTAGGCGATGACGTGTCCCACACATTCATATTGACCAGAAACTCTAATGGAAATTAAGTTATGACTCGAAACAGGCAGTTTTGAGTAGCATGCATCCGGCTACGGTAAATTGTTATGAATTTTTAGTAAACGTGGGAGCGTCACAGCATGTAGATTATTCAGTGGAGGACAATTTTTCCATTGAAGTCTTCCTTTAAAGATGAGCTTACCTACCGTAAATTATCAGGCTAAACTGTGGTTTCGCATTACATGATCAAAGGTCTTAAATACGAATTGAAGCTATTCATTTTTAAATATTGAACATAAACATTACTAGATATTTTAACAAACACGGAATTGATGTACAAGGAGAAACTGCCAAATTTACTTATGCGAAAATAAGGAATATTTTTAAGCAAAAAATTGCAATGAAAACTAAATTGTCAGAAGTAGTTGTTTCATTGAGAAATTGACTTTTCAAAAAGGAAATTATTTATTACGTTTTTTATGATTATCTCCAATGTAAATGTAAGGCAATTTCTTTTTTGGAAACTGATTATAATATACTGCTTAACTTGTTTTATTAGGCCTTTACTTAGATGCTACTGACCCGTTTTATGTAACAATATATTCATTACATTATATCTGATTTAATAATTTCATTCTCTGAGGACAGGGTCTAACGTATTTGATTTTTGTAAATGATTGCTGCAAAAATTTATTTTTTTTATGTCAAATGGCAGGCTTTTTGATAATTATCATTTGCTCTATAGTTGACTTCGGGCTTCACAGAGGGTACGGAACATTTATTTATTTCAAATGGCAGGCGTTTTGATAGC